TACAATCTCAAGCACATTCCATGCATCATTTCATTGTCTTTAAAGTCAGCAGAAGCATTATTACAACTAAATGGATTCTTGATAATCAGATGTAACTTCACTGATATTTATATAATTAAATGCAGTAAATTCTGCAAGTTTGCAAATTGAATTCCACAAGAATTGTTCATACATGACATAAAACTTTTGTCTTTATAGTAAGCCGATAGGTATTTTATATAAATATAGCTATATTATATATCATCAAAATATGCTTTCTTGGACAGACTTTTTACAAACATTTATGTGATGATTTAAGATGGTGATCTTAAATATAGTAGCAAAATTCAACTTACAAATAAAGAAATTAAAGTGCACTTTAATTTAGAACTGATATTTTATTGTTTTGGAGAAAGATTTAACACATGGAAAGTAATAAATTGCCCAACTATAGTTGAAAAATCTGCATTAAATAAATGAACAATAATATCTGAATCAAAATTTAATTCAAAATCATATGAATCCACCATACAAATTGAGAAAAGAAATAATATTTATAACATTCTCATTTCCATATTATTCCTATAAGCTATTTCACACATTAAGCAAAGGCCAATAATGGCTTCTTGTTTAAGATTCATATGTTTCTATAATTCATTTTTTACTCTTAAAAAAGGTAGTAAGTCCTGTGAAATAAAATATTCAGCAGGTATTCTGGAGGTGGTTACAAGTTTATCTAGCTGAAACTGAGAGTAAACAGTTTTTATGAGTTATGATTTTTGGACTTATTTACTTGGAAGATAGTGCAACTAATTTCAAGAGGTTTACTTCCAAATTTTGTATTTAAGATCACAGCTTGTTAAATCAGAATCAACAACTTCTCTTCATCTTTTCAAGTATCAACATAAATTTATAATTTGTATTGCGTACAACGATTTTTATCGGTTATATGGCCTTTTCTCTGAATAGAAGAAACCACAGTTAACAAAGTATATTTAGATATAACCTATAAAAATATCTACTATACATTAAATATTTAGCCACCGAGTTGTACACATTAAAAAAATATGAAGATATTCAAACAAATATTTATCTCCAATAAAGGGAATCTATGAAGCTATGATACATTTTCAATGAAGGCTAATCTGCTGCCTTCATTTAGAAATGAGTAAAATTATATTTTCTACAAAATTCAAAACAGATTTATACATCTACACATTTTTCTTCTGGATAATCTTCAACTTTTAGAGAATTTAATTAAGCCCCCTGTCCAGTGCCCCACATCCAGAGAAGTTCAAAAAGTATCACGATAAAACACGACTGCTAAATAAAAGAGACCTATTAAAATACAATGGTGTTTTTCTTGGTCCCTTCGAGCACCGTACAGGCAGTCTTTAATTTACGACAGCAATTGAGACCGCTTAGTGATGGCAGTTCTGGCAGTCCCAAGTTGCTGTTGTTAAGCAAGGACCGCATGACTGTGGTTTCCGACTTCCTGCCAGCTTCTGTGCTGTTTGTGGAAAGCTGGCAGGGAATGTCAGAAATTGTGATCTTGTGACAGAGGGAGCAGTGCAGTGGCTGGATATCCGAGGACCTGTTGCAAGAACCACTTGTTGAACATTGTCACAGGTTCAAACTATTGCTAAACGTAAGCCAAGGACTACTCGTATTTATCCAATAGAAGGCAACCCATCCCCCTCAAAGGGGAAAAAAAATACAAACATATTATGGAAAGCCTATGGTTTCCACTCCAAATGAAACCAATCCTGGAGATTTCCACACCTCTCCTAGGTTTATGTACGATTTCACTTGTGTATGTTAGGCATCCTTTGCAGCTGTGCTTATGTATCTTATAAAAATGAAGTCTTGATAAAGATAGGATAGGATCAGAACAAACATTATTATTAACCGATTCCCTGTGTGCATGTCAATCATTCTTTCACATATAAGTCAGTCTTACACAGACAAATATGTGTGAATACATACACAGAATCTCCTCCCTCCCTCTCTCCTTCTAATGAAAGCAGGGAAAAGGGGGAAAGTGGATGGAAGAGTTATGGGGTGGCTTCCCTGGAAAATAAAAACAAGACAACTGGTGGGAGATATATGGGGATAGGGGAGAGAGAAAGAAGTCTTGTTTAGGCGTTATAGAAAAGCAGTTATCTCTCATCTTCTTTCTGTTATTTTCAATAGCACCTTTCCACTAAGTGACTGAATTCAGAGATATTGAGGTGGGGGGTGGGGAGTGTTTCTTCCAGTCAGGTAAACACAGTAAATGATTATCTACCCGAACAAATATTTTACAATGCAAAAATTATGTTATGATAAAATACAGCTCAAGTGCTTTTTATATGTTATTTAAATAATTTCTATTTTATCACCACTGTTTATCTTTCTGATATAAGTTTGACTTTCTGGCTTATTTCTACAACACTGAATGCATTGCAAAACAAGGAGTTCACAGCATGGCCACAGCATACATGATAGCACCAGCGACAAGAAAATAAAAAGAAACAAACTGACCCTCCTTTGCAAAGCTAACACAGTACATTGCACAGAGCTTTTACCACTAAGATAGCATGGTTCAATAAGATATCTATATAGATAGTGGGATTTTTAAAAACACTTCCAACCCGTGAGGACAAAACTATTTTTTGTTTCAACAACTTGCAGGTATCTAATATGCTGCTTGACTTCTATCACACAAATAACGACATATAATGATTTTATACAAATATATACATGACTTAACATGCAAACTCAAAAAGGAATTGTTTCTGTACAAATTTCATTCGAAAGTAGGATGTTAAAATTCTGCAAATTAGCCTGAATTCTTCTGTGCATTTTTGAGAATCCAACTACATGAGCAGTCATCCCATCTCTCTTATGCTTTCCTCTCAAGTCATACAGGAGGAGGGGAAGTATAGATGCTAATCCCAAAGATGATGATGATGGTGACAGGGCTGAAGGATATGCTGGTTCTCTTTTATGAAAGAACTCCAGAATGCTAAATCAGGTCTTAGCAACAAAGCTCTTGAAAATATCTCAGAATCCACACCCCCAATTAATATTTTAAAAGCACATAAAAAATTAAAAAGGCAGAAATCATGTGCCATTTTCCAAATCTTCAGCATTTTGAAATTCTTGCATGAATATCTCAAACAAGGACACTGATATCTCAGAAGGTTTTAGGCAAGAATGGATTAAGCTGAATGAAATCTTGTAGGATTTGATGGTTTCTGCAAAATCTTAAAAGACAATTTGTAAAATTGTCATTGTTATTTACTTTGGGAGTGAAGCCATTACCTGAACTTGATGGTATTCAGTGCATGACATCTGCTAGCTCCTCCAGTAAATATAAATATACATATATATATGGATCTTTGGTTATTCGGGTTTTCTCCCACGTAAAATTGGAAGTATCTAGGCGACGTTTCGATGAAGTCTCATTCATCATCTTCAGGCTTGTGTCTTCGGCTTTGTGCTTCTCGGAGTAATGTGAGCTTGCAGCTGCTTCTTCCTTTTAACTGCTAGTGGGGGTGTGACTTGATTGGGTGGCGACTTGGCTGTGTTCTGATTGGGTGGGGGGGTGTTCTCATTGGTTGGGGGTTTGGCTGTGTTCTGATTGGTTGGGGGGGTTGGCTGTGTTCTGATTGGCTGGGGGTGTGCTGGAGGGGTTGTATTTGTTTTGGATGGCTGTCAAGGCTTCTTTTATAGGCACTTGGGTGAAGAGGGATATGACATCAAAGCTTCACCCAAGTGCCTATAAAAGAAGCCTTGACAGCCATCCAAAACAAATGCAACCCCCCCAAGCACATCCTAGATCTGACCAACCACTGCCTATCCAATACATACTTCACCTACAACGGACAGAAATACAAAATAGGAGGAGCACCCATGGGATCACCCCTCTCACCTGTCATCGCAAACCTCTACATGGAACACTTTGAAACACAAGCTCTAGAAAAGCACAGAGCCGAAGACACAAGCCTGAAGATGATGAATGAGACTTCATCGAAACGTTGCCTAGATACTTCCAATCTTACGCGGGAGAAAACCCGAATAACCAAAGATTGATTTTATATATATATATATATGGCATTCAGCTTTGTTCGGGTATTTTCCCACGTCATTGTAGTTGTGCTTTTAAAGTTGTAGCAACGTTTCGGCAGAATCTCATCTGCCATCATCAGGCTTCTGGTTGTGTCCGTCTGTGACACAACCACAGGCGGCCACAACCAGAAGCCTGATGATGGCAGATGAGATTCTGCCGAAACGTTGCTACAACTTTAAAAGCACAACTACAATGACGTGGGAAAATACCCGAACAAAGCTGAATGCCATACATGTAAGTACCCGCGAAAACTTTTATATATATATATATATATATATTTATTTATGCCTACATTTTAAATGAAAAATGGTGGGACTCAATAGGACTGCCTCTTCCTACCCCCACTCCAAAAGAACACTCAAAACAAGTTAACATTTTATCTTTGGTTTAAGGAAAAGGAAGAAGTGAATCAATACTATGAACTCACTAGAACTTCTTAAGTCAGATGTGTTTCTCAAAACTGGCGGTGTACATTGCACTAAGATTTTTGGACCTCTAACCACTATGTTCCACATTCTTACTTTATTGTCTTATTCTTGTCCACGTAAGATTATGTTAATTTTCATAGGCTTTGCAGAATTTCCTTGAAGAAGAATATATAAAATCAGTGGTCCCCAACCTTTCCGGCTTTATGGATTGGTGGCTGGAGGCAAGAATAGATGGTTCAGTGGGTGGTGCACTTTTGTGCATGAGTATGCGAGACTGCAGTTAGCACAAGTGAAGATATGCACGCTCACCCACCACCTCTGCAGCCCAGTTCCAAATGGTGCATGGCCCAGTATCAGGGATTGGGACACCTGTATAAAATAGTGCTTATGGAAATTATGAATAATATGCAGGCCAAGTTTGGCTAATTAGAGTACCCATTCGTATTCTTAACTAGAATTAGACTTTTTTTTTTTTAAAAAAAAAGGGGGCTTCGAAAATGGTATTATTTTGTATATGAAGTAGAAAGAAATCTGCTATTATTTTCGATAAAAAAAATCATTTGAATAAATTTTCCAGGAGCACTTTTTAATAGGAGCATAAAAGAGAAAATATTTTAGATGCTAAATAGAAATAGAACCTTTAATAAAATTATTTGGAAAGTTGGTCCCTAAAACTGGAAATTTTAAGTCTACTTTAAAACATTGAATAGCTTATAAGCAAGTAGCTTTTTGTGTTGTCAATCAAAACAATGCAATTATGAAATTAAAAAAAAAACTTGAATGAAGTTTGATGGAAATGATAAATATCCTGTCTAGTAGATGAAAAACTTTAAAATACTTTTTGTGTGCATAAAATTTGAATAAAACAAGCAGAGGATTGTTTTTGACAGAAAGACCAACTTAAGAAAATATTCTAACTCTAGAAGAATCTCAAAATAACACCTGACGATTTATACATATAACATTCAAGATCAAAAATGACAGGCTGAAGACAAAATACATTAAATTAAAACTAATTTCATCCTGTGTTCCATAAATACTTGGTACATTGTTTTACTTTAATGCTCAGTTGGTCTTGAAATTCATTTTAATAGAAGAGACCAGGCATTTTTTCTGCCTTGCTGGCTGCCTCCTTTGAAGGCTTTCATCATCGTGTCCCTGAGAAGTGTCCTTAATGTTGACATTGGATAGCAGCCTGGGAGACCAGAGAGCTACAAATTATTAGGTACAGTCCTCAAGGCTTCTTCTCGAGAGCGGCTCACACACACATTCTGAAAATAAAATAAGAAGAATTAGTTAGCAAGCTTTAAGTGGTTCACAGTCCAGAGAAGTGCATAGGTAACGCTGGCCTGACCAAGAAAATTCTCTTGATAAGTTTATGGAATTAAGACAGTAACCCTGCACTGAGATTGACCTCTTAGAAAAATGCCCTCTTAAGCAGTAATAAATGAGTAATTTTGGCTTAACTGCATCTGAAGATAAGTTTGCCTTTAGAGATCTTCAGATCTAATAAATTCCTTACATTTCTTAAGATGAACTACTGTTGCAGACCCACATTGTATTCTAGAGATACATGCTCCCAAAGCAGCTACCTTCAGACATGGAATAAAATATGCAGACCATGAAGCATGAGAAAAGATGACAACTTTTGGGGTTTGGGACTTTACCAGAAGTTATAGATACATAAAATCACACATAATATATCAAAAGAGTCAACAGTTTTTATTCTCCTGCAACACTAGAATTGAGGAGAAGAAGAATTTATTAAAATGTCTAGTTCAAGAGTATGCACTGAATAATAGCAACTGCCCACTGGTTGACATAGTTAATAATTTTTTTCACAAGCTCCAATTACTGCCAATTCAAGAGATGATGAGTCTTATTCAATATGAACTCTTGGGGACCACATATTGGCTTCATTAGGTATAGCAGAAGACTGTTTTCACCATTAACTAACATGAATGCACAGCATAATGTTTTCAGTTCTTCAAATAATTCAAACAGACAGCAAAGTTTTTATGTTCAATATACATGCCCAAGCACAGGAGAATCAGAGTTTATGGGAATCATTCATCTAAATCCACCCACCTCTATTCCTCTTTCAATCAAATCTCTTTTTCTAGGCCACAATCTATGAAGAACTATAACTCCCCATGTTAGCAAATCACACGGCAGTTTTATCAGTAATACTGCCCAAATTTTTCCTTCACTAGAGAAGGCTGGTAATAAATGTTGATTTTCCTGCACATAGGCCGTTTTTTCAGGTAGCATCACCTGACTACATCCTGCCGAACACTGCAGATTGGTTGGTACCTATTAAATGGGTACATGACATATAGTTTGATTTTTATTATCTTGCATTAAATACAACCCTGAATCAAGCAAACTATTAAACAGCATAACCTTTTACAGAAACGCCTACTTTCAAACAGGATAGAGCAGAGCAGTGATGTGGTGAAAGGTTACAAAATGGGTCTTTCTTTAGTGCCCATGAGACTCTCTCTTGAACCAACTTTTTCATTCAATGACTAACAAATCTTAAACATAAGGTCAAGTATGACATATTATGTCAAAAAGATATTGCTGGGATATGTATTATGGTGCTGTATACAAAAGAGATGCTGCGTGCAAAATTTTGGACAGCCACAAGAAGGCAGCAAAGAGATGCCTAAAACACTGTGCTTTTACTGCCATCTTTTGCATCTCAAATACGGTAGACCTAGTGAAAAGCCACAAAGATGAGCCATGAGAGCCTAAGGGGAGAAGAGATAGGATTCAACAGAGCAAATGTGGAAGTCATGGGAACATGCAATTCTACATTCTGATCATGACTTCCCTGAACATTTGCAAAATCCACTGCAGCAGGATCAAGAGCCGGAGCTGAAAGATGCAGAACCATAACACGGCTGAGAAAGGAGCAATAGTCACTAATGCTCTTGTGTGGACTAGCATTTGGAACCAAGCCTATGCTCTTCAGCTGGTTTAGAAAAAGCATTGAAGTCTAGGAAGTGAGACAGGCAGTTGGAGATGGGCCAACAACATTTTAAAAATACTGCCCACTTAATAGGAAACAACTTTTTAGATACATTAAAATCAATTAGAATTATAATTCCTAATGACAGAATTACATTGGTCAATGACATTGGAATAAACACACTATCACCTGAAAAATATCCAGCTATCTTCTCATTGATTCTATTGTACTTATTACAACTATTGGATGTATTGTAACTATTAATAACTTAGGCGTTCAAAGTACTGAACTGAGCTTTACTGGACATAATACATCAAATTAAAAATCAGCAATAATTAAGTTATGTTGCAAAAGGAACTAATCGCATTTCAGCAGAAGTGAACAATAGCTTATTAATGTTTCAACAATTCAAACAGTCTAAAACAATTTGATCTCCAAGTCATGCAATACACAAAAACTGTTATATTGGCATTTGATTCCAAATTGATCGGAATGATTGATTGAAAATTAATAAAAGTATGATAAAAAACAGCACCACATCTTTCATAGCTGATCAGGAAACAGGATTCACAGGTGAGCAGGGACAGTTACAAGGGCATCCTCAGGAGGTCTGACAATGTCTACATTCTGTATAATAATAAAAATACAGTAAATATTTATCGTGCAGGACTGCCAATCAGTGTTTCCACAAGTAATCTCCTGAATTTAAATCAATGGATGATTGCAATTCACCAAGAAAAAATTTGTGCCTGCTTTTCTTATAAACATAGACTATTGATTTACAGAACAACAATAATTCTGCAGTTCCAGCTTAGCGCCGGAAACCTTCCTCCCATACACGGAGAGATTACAATTTAAAAATACTTCAATTTCTTTCATATAGTTGTATCTAAATTCCTGCAAATCTTGTTCTCTTACATTGTCCAGGTTAGTGGGGGCAGTTGGTGGCAATAAGGCTTAGCAACTTATAGGATCACTATTCTGGAGGAACAACCTCTTTTTCCACCCATCTTTAATATGTTGCTATTAAATTGGCAAACTTTGTCCTACAAGATCATCCCTTTCCTAGCAGTGCTGTCATTTATCTGGCCAATGGCTTGTCGTGTGCAAGTCTGGGGTCTCTGCAGTACAGAACTATGTTACTAGTTGTTACTTCTGCTCACTAAATCACAATGACCTTATGGGCTACCTGTCTGTATACAGAAAGCCATGCAGTATTACAGGGTCATTTAGTCATGCCTTCCTTTGGCCCCAGGAAGTCCCCAGATTAAGAATGAGTTCAGTTCCTTAATTCTTGTCTTGAATTTGTAATTCACATTTTAACTCATACTTACACCAAGACTGCCTGTTACTAAAAACAGTGGATGGCGTTCTTTTTTTCTCAAGCTGTCGAACTGCTGAAAACAGGCCCTACATTAAAAATGTGCAGCTTCAGTGGTTCATTGACTGAAGGAAGGAGAACTCTGCCTACCATTTTTAGTAAAAGTACAAGTTGTTTATAAATGAAACATTCTTAACCCAAGGACTGCCTGCATTAGTCTGTTACTTTAGCATTATCGTCTCTACTAATATCACTGACTTTTTTAGACTGAAGTTATGTCAAACTTAAAACCTAGGCAAGTACATCTCCAACAGGGAACTCCTACCTCCAAGCCCATGATTATATATGCAACATAAATCACCTCATCCATCATTAAATCATCAATGAGAACAGATTTTATATAGACCAACTTGGCATTCAAAACAGTCAGAGCCCAAGGCATGAGGACACACAATAACTTGGTTTATGGGTTGAGTACTGGGTTCTGGTCAAGCTCCCAAGTAGCAACCCCAGCAGTCCCTCAGATTCTAACCATTCCTATCCCTGTCACAATCTTGAAGTTTCTGCTTTCTACCCCCAGCCCCTGCTTCCCTAGCTCTCCTTTCAAAGGCACCCATACATATACGGACAGCCACCAATCACCCCAGCCCTCATAGCAAACATCAGACACACACACACACCCCAGGCTGTTCCTATCTTCAAGGTCTTGGAGTTAGAATAGCACATAGTTTCTGTGAAAAGCTCTCTGTATATTTCAGATCACATACCTACTCCCTTCCTGTCCAGGTAGGTAGTAAGATGACAAATAGCTCTCCAGTTAATAGAAAACCCAGGCTGAGTCCAGAAGAAAGGTCCAACAGGCAAGTGCCCAGAGCACAGTGAAGAGAATGATAAAGCAGAACTCAGTGCTGCCTCCACCACCCTGGCTCCTTCCGGGCTTCAAAGCACACCCTTAAATCTCTCCCTGACAGGCCAAAAGGTCCCCAGAGCTGCTGAAAATTATCTTGATCACAGACCGGATAAGGATCAATAATATGAATCACGGTGATATACATGTGAATAGTTCCTTGGTCCTATAGAGATGCAGGAATGGGGACAACCAGAACACCATTCAGAGATGTGCCTAAGTTCTCCTAGCCACAGCTGCCACCTGCTCTTCAAGCCAGAATCTGAGTCTAGGAGCACTCCCAGATTATGCACCAGGTCTGCTTGAGGTAGTGTTATCCCATCCAGAATTAGAGATGGAACAACCTTGTCTCAAGAAGTTCCAAATACCCTTAGCCTCTCCATCTTGCAATGGTTGAATCAGAGCCTGTTTTGCTTCATCCAGACCTGGACAGCCTACAGACACTGGGATAGGATGTCCATAGCATCAGTCAAGGGGTCTAGAGTGGAAGATATAAAGCTGGGTGTTATCTGTATATTGATGATATCTCACCCCAAACTGGTGGATCACCTCACCCATGTAGATGTTAAAAAGGAGAGAAGAGAAACCAAGCCCTGAGGCACCTCAAAAAGTAGGGGCTGCAACCTGATTCTCTCCCCGCCTATCAACACCAACTGAAACTGACCCTGGAGTAAGGAGAACCAGCACAACACAGTGCCACTCACCCCAACTCCCAAGCCAGCATGATTGATCATATTAAATGCTGCCAAGAGGTCAAGAAGAGTCAGGATCGATGCATTACTTCCATCTCACTTCTGCCAGAGGTCATCCATGAGCACAATCAATGCAATCTCAGTCCCAAACTCTGGCCTGAATCTTGACTGAAAGGCATCTAGATAATTCGCTTGATCCAAGGTCCTCTGCAGATGCCCTGCACCCACTCTCTCCACCACCTTCCCTCAAAGGACCATCCCTGTCCAAGCTGGTTTCCAACCTTCCCTTAGAAGGGAAGGTTGGAAACCAGCTTGGACAGGGATGGTCCTTTGAGAAGGGAGTGCACCACTGCCTCTTTAAGAGCTGGTGGGACCACTCCCTCTTTCAAGGAGGAGTTAACTACCACCTACCCTTTCCCATGCAACTTGCAACTCTATTACTGATCCTGAAAAAATCACTTACAAATTTCCTTTACAAACAACTGTTTTAACTGACTGAAACAGCTAAACTAACTTTCAATCAACAAGCCATATGAACCAAAGCAGTTATGATCATCAATGTTCTGCTTCTGAACATTCTTTTTTCTTAAACTTTAAAGCAGTTATGAATTAACACACATGAAAATACATATTGAACACACTATTATGGATACATTTATTTATTCTCATTCTCTACTGTCCTGTTATTAACTTAGCTTGATATACCTGATTCCCACTAAGGCCAATGGGACAACAGTACAATCATGGTCTCCTGTCTTACTGATTGGGTTCATATATCCTATGAAACTATATTTTGATTTAATGAACAAACCACCAGATAACAACCACGAACTAGGGGTACAAACTACAAGTGTTTGCTCACACAATAACTAAACCGAAATTAAACAAACCATAGTTTGACTATATGGACCTAGTAATAAATCATAATACTGGTAGCATAGACATACAAATGGCTCAGAATCAAAACCTGAAAAGTAATGCTGCACACAGAAACATTTATATGACATTTTAACTCAGTCAAAATTGTATTTGTGATTTTGTTAGCAAAGCCTTTCATCCTCATGTTAGGAAGTATGAGTAAAATAGATGAGACTTTTCATATAAATCCAACAGTCACAAACCGAAGTCAATCACTAAACAATGATGTGTCTATGTGTATGAGAAAGACAGAATAACCATAATTTTGCATTAAAAAGAGTACCTATGAATTTATGGTTATTCCAGAATTTTAATATTAAAAATAAACTTCCAAACTAACTGGACACAAAAATATTTGCTGTTGTTCTAGAATGAGCAAGAGATGGCTTTCAAAATCTACAAAGCAATCCCCCCCCCCAAAAAAATAATATAGTACATTTCACATAAAACATACAGGTACCAGAAACTGAACTACTGCAATGATATTTGACATGACACAGTCAGAGTTGCTATAGTAGAGCACAAGGCAAAGTCTGTTGAAATTAGGACCAGGATAAGATGCTTGCAGAGAAAGTACTAAAGTACCTACAAATCTGAAAACTTTTTTCCTTACATTAAAAGAATGGGATCTCTAATTGAATGGTAATATACAGTATCTCAATACTACAGAGGTGTTGTCTACACTGTATTGAGGGATATAGGCACGTATGGAAGCCCTTCACCCCTGAAATCTTGTATATCTTTAACATTTTCATGAGTTTAATGCAGAATTCTTTTTAAAAATCATCGAAGTACATTAAAGAGAACACACACACTAATCAGATAAATTGTTTTATCAGTGTTCCCAAATATGAAACTGGATGGTTGTGAATCCCTACTCCAAGAATCAAAGAAGGTATTAAGCTCAGGTTTTTTTTACAATTCCCTCCAGCTACCTTATTTTTTTAAAAGTACATTTAAAAAAATCAACTTTGGGAAGAAGCAATCTGGAAGATGTAGCCAAGAAAGGGGGCAGTGTGTGCTTAATTCTTCTGTCACTGGCAGGTTTTCTACTTTAATACTTTTTCCAAGCTTCTTGTAAAGTTTTACATTCATATTCGGTAAGAAGACCTACCAGTGGTTTATCCCTGTGTGTGTTTACAGCGTCAACATTTAGAAAAATAGATTCCACTTTGCAACCTGTAGGTGAAATCAACATTTTCATATTTAATATATTTTATTCACTAAAAAAGAATAATATTAACACCATAACAATAACTTCTTCCTTTTATATCCAATGGACAATGGAATTTGACACAAATAAATACTGGTTAAAATAGTTCTGGTTAAGATTTGTTAACACTTTAGCATCTGTTGAGGTAAGGTTGCTTTATAAAGTTTCCTCCTACGACACTCTGGCATGTGAGTGGCAGACATAGTAGTCCTTCCAATGCAACTTCCAGCTTTCTCCTAAGAATCATGGATAGCAGTTTTGAGCAGCTGTAGCAACATTCATATTGACAGACCTTTGGGAGGGTTGTTAAGTATTATAAAACATTTGATTGTATGTTGAGAGTATGTTGAGTATCTTCCCTAAAATATTGATCAGATTTTCATGCATGCCTTCAAGTCAGGTTGTTGAATTGGAGAAAGAAAATTGGGAGTGGCTTTTTGGATGTAAGAACAAGTTCAATTCTGATATTGAAAATATGTTCTTGTTCTAAGCCATGCGCTGAAATGAATATGTACTTCAATTTTATTGGGTGGCTTTCTGCCCAGAGATTCCTTGATTGTTAGCTGAGCTTTGTTGCAGATGTTTCATTAACCAAACTAGGTAACATCATCAATGCTAGTAGGGAATGCGGTTTGGTCTCATTTTATATACTAGTGGCTTGCCCTTGGCTTTATTTTTGCACCCTACCCCAGCTGGAGATCTTATCTGCAATAACTGCAGGATTTTGGACACTAGAGGTCACTACAGGCTTCTTTTTATTTGAAGTGTAACTAAGTTACAGGAATTCTCTCTATTTTAAAATGTTTTCTTATCCCAAATTTTAATGTCCACATTCCCCTTTCCTCTTCTTTTAACAAGAAGTAATAGTGGTGCTTTTTATTTAGATTAGGTGGCATTTTAAAATTATTTTAATTACAACTTTGTTTTACACTGGTTGAAATAATATGTCAAAGTAAAAATTAGGTTTAATAAGTAACTTAAGGAGAGTCGGGCCCAGTTAGCATCTGAAAGGCACTCCAACATATTCCATGACAACTGCAAGCTAGATGGAAAAGTTGAAAAAAAAAATAGAAAAGAAGGCTCTGTGGTAGCATATTCCTTCCTATAATTAATAATGTTCTATTCTATCATATTAAAAGTTACATTTTAGCTACAACTCTTAGACTCTGGAAGCACCCCAAGGCTTTACCAACACTGTCAACAATTAGTTTTTTTGGATTCTACCCAGAGGTGGTATTCAGCAGGTTCTGACCAGTTCTGGAGAACCGGTAGCAGAAATTTTGAGTAGTTCTGAGAACCGGCAAATACCACCTCTGACTGGAGATTTTACTGTACCCTTCCCCTGCCACGCTCACCAAGCCACGCCCACAGAACCGGTAGTAAAAAAAAATTAATCCCACCTTTTGAAACAAGAAGGCATGGAATACACACAACAGACAAATGCACAGGCTTACTAAAATCCAAGTATCTACAAGAATGCTAAAAATATTTCTAAAGAAAAATCAACACTAATTATGTAAAGCATTTTGAGTGGTCATACTTCTGAAGATATTCACACCACACCACTGTGTGGCAGGACCTAATTATTCAAATTCCCAGCTTTACCTCAAGAAGAATAGAAACAATGTCTATTTTAAAACATTTTGGTTTAATAATGAACTGAACAGTTTAATGGAAACTGTAACTAAGTACAAGTAATTTGTTTTGACATACAAGCTTACAATTAGGAACTAATAGTCTACCTCTGATAGATGTAACCTAATGAAATGTTTTTCATAATAAAGTTGATTAACTTTAGCTTAAATTTGAATATCTTACCGTAAGCCACTGGAGTTAGCTTTAAGACAGTATGCAGAGGGCACTTGAGATAAGGCAGTTGTTCTGAAATACATAAATAAAGAAAAATATAATAAAAAAAGAATAACTTCTGACTATTGACTATATAGTTGGTTCCTAGTTAATATTTGTATCTCACTTCACTAAATAAATTTTCAGAACAGCTTCCATTTGTAGAAACCAGAGCACACAAGCAATGCTACCAACAGACACAGATAAGATTCTAAGACTTAGCCAGACAAAACAAAAGAATAAAAAAATGGTAAATTGAAATAACTAAACAAATAAAAATATTTAACCTACCAACAAATAGTGGTTCTCAACCTTACGTCACCATGGACCCCCTTTAATACCTTTTGTGGCCACAGACCATAACCACAGATCACCAAGATTTAAGATTTAAATCATAACATTTCTTCAAGCCTTCACAGACCCCTGTAATGGCTTCGTGTGCAGACCACAGGTTGAGAACTACTAACACAGTGGTATCCTAAACACGTACCACTTGTCTGCAATTATATGGTGTCAAAATGAAAGTTATTGCTGACTAACTTCAGCTTTCTCTGTGGGTATTTGTAAGGTACCTACCTGCAGGCTTATCCAAAAAGTAAGCAAGCAAACAACGCATAACAGCTTGGTGACAGATTACAAGCACGTTTTCCTGCCTTTCCAGCTCCATAATTACTGGCTCTAACCTTTGAACAAGATCTTCATAGGACTGGAAAAACAATAGCAAAAAAAACAACCATTGTAATATGGATATATGTATAAATGACCATAATTTTATAATAAAACTAGCTGGATACCTGTGCTTCGCTATGTAACTATGTGATCAGGTTTAGTTTTTGGGGAGGAAAATAAGGGGGGGAAATTCTGCCTCTGCCTAACAGCATCCATCGGTATTCATCTGGCTAGCATCCTGTCAGTGTGTGAGAGTGTTGAGGGATTTTTGGAAACTGAAGCAGTATTTGCTGTGTGAGCAAGGAGACAGCAAGGAGCCTGGGCGTGACTTAGCTCAATTGTTCTATTCTAAAGCTGGTTGCTGTTGTGAGACTGAAACTGAAACCCTTCTGCTTGTGTTTTGCATTTGGAACAGATTTCTTTTCAGATGGGGAAGGGGAGTAGAACTCCTTAGCATCAGAGCGTGTTAATAATAATATACAGAATACTAATGCTTTGGTGGTCATTCGAAAAAATCCTTTCTTAGTGAGCACCTAGAAGCCATGAGGAACGTATGTGCAAATTTTGTGGGCTTTATGGTTCTGGAGATTTTGTGATGATGCGTGAGTGGTATTTCACTTTTATATATAGAGATTGATTTGCTCTAAGATGGGTTAAATAGTATCACCTGTGTAATAGTACAAATGCTTTTGAACTTGCATAAGACTGTTTATCTTTTTTTAAACTTACATGCCAAACTGAAATAAGAAAATGCAGATGCTTTTAGGAAACAATTCATTAAAATCAATGTAACTCTTAAAGCAGCTGCATTGTTACTTTGGGCTGCACCTATGCATAATAGAGAGGTTTATGTTCTGTCTGGATCTAATTCTACAGAAGTATTTCTTCTTTGTAACCTTTAATCATCATCTTGTGCTTTAAAATCCAAGTGGTAGATTAATGGCAATTACCAACTAATTACTGACTTACATGAAATGATTTCAACATCCATCCTTCCTCTCTGCATCCATTCTTTTCTAAGCAATCTGTGCCTGTTTTTCTATATCTGATGCTTTCCGTACCACAGAATTTGAATTGCAGAAGATTACAGACTGATTCTGTCACTTGTCTATTTCAATGTTTATACATTAATGTTTATTTTTCCCTATGTAAGAAACTTTGTAAATAGCTGAGTAATTGATACAGCGAGATTTCTCTTGTTTTTATGTAAAAGTAATGAAACGTGATGTTGCTAACAGTTTTCAAAAACAGGAATTCTGCTACAGAAATTAATTTTTAAGAAACTATATCTTTTGTGCACTCAAACATGGAACAAAAGGAGTTTTGGAAAAGTACTGTAAGTAGATCAGCTGATAAAGTGGAAGGCAGCAACCACCTGATGGTTTATCAAAACATACATTTTTGCTTTGCTAAGGAACACGTGAAAATATACCATCAGTTAAGCCAGCGATAGTCATTAAGAAGATGTACAGCTATTGACTGAAAAACACACATCCTTTCTCTGTACAATCAGCAAACAAGCTCCAAAAATGTTTCCACCTTACATAACATCCATTATAACCTGACCGCCTCTATGCCATCTGTACTCCTGCAGTGTTTTGAACATTATGATCACTCAGCCAACACATGATACATGGATTTAAGGTATGTTCCACTTTTAACAAATACTGTTAGCAGCTGCTTTTATTGGTGCTTTTGATTAATGCTTGACTTTTAATAGCAGTCTGTAAAAGGGCAAGCTAACAAGCAACTGAGCCTCAAATATGTGGTTTTAAAATTTGTTGCTCTACTTAGAGAAAGCACATGAAAACGCTGATGCATGTTCTATCAGGGGGCCCTGAGTGTGTGGCTGCAGGACGGCCAGCAATACACTGAACCAAAAGTCTGAAATGGAAACAGATTTATTTCCTCCTTTTCCAAAAAAGTTTTAAGAAGCCTTTCAGCCCTGCTTAAAATTTGAACACTGTGTAGGATAGCTTTTTAAGTTACAAACAATAGGGCCCTGTTGCTGTTAATTAACATTTCCTACACAAATGAGAAAATGGCTTCTACTTTAGCAACAACACAAAGAAGTTGCAAAAAAGCTTTCTCATGAGAAAGAGGCAATAAACCCACTTTATTTCAAAACATTTCTCTTTTGAAACACTTACAAAAAGACTTCTGCATTTCTAAGCTTGCAAGAAGTAAAATTTAACAAACCTCGCCCTTAGGATATCTGTATCTGTATTTGTCCTGGTCTCTCAAAGCAAATTCTAAGGGATAATTTTCCTGAATTTCTTCATATGTCATTTCTTCACAGACTCCCTATAGAAACAAAGAAAATAAGAGACTACATGAAGCATAACAAGAAACATGGACTGGGCTCACAAAGATTCTGAACTAAAATGCCACTTTTGTCATGAATAAAATTAAAACAAAATATATAATAATAACAATAAGAAACTAAACAAAACCCCACCACTCCAAATACCTTCTGGTACAAAAATATATATCTTTAGCTTCTTGTTGGAGCTAAGCAAACCTTTAGGGTAACAAATGGTTTTACTCCCCCTCACCAAACCTCCACAACACAGGGACTTCCCAGTTTGATCTAATTAATCAAATCTACTTTCTCAGATTATTTTTTCAAATACATCAGAAAAATCAGTAATTATCAGGGGATTTAGTCCTAATGTTTTTCAAAATTCAATTAATTAAATTCTTAATGAATTTATTTCAATTAATTACTGAATTTTAACCCACATTTCTATCTATTTCAATGAATTATTTGAAATGATAATTAAAAAAAACTTATGTGACTGTCAGGTTGAAAAGTCATTCTATCTATCTACCTATCAATCAATAAGACATCAGGGCAGAACAACTAGCATTTTATTTTCACACAATGATTAAAACAAACTTTGATTTGCAACTTAACTCTAAAGCATCCATTCAAATTAGGGATAGTTGTCAAAAATAAAAATGGTTTATTGCCTGACATCGGTTTGGAAATAAAGGAAGTAATTCTGTAGCAAGATGGGACAAGTTCCATAAATACTTTCTAAAATTGCTGAAACCAACTAACATTTACCTTTTTAAAGCATAATATTATAACTAACATTATAGTTTTATGACAAGAGAAGCAATAAGTGCAGTGCAATCTAATACATTTGAAATAAGCCCTGAAGACTTGTCTGATAGGTACAAAACTTCAGGAAGCTGCAGGAGCTCAACATCATCGTAAAAAAACTTCCAAGCATTGATGGTTATATATGTAGCAGAAAAGCATCCTACCGCATCAATTTCATTTAAAACTTTCCACTGCTCATAAGGCACTCTCAGAGCCTCAGCAGTCTGAATGGTCCTCTTCATCTGACTTGTCCAGACCTTCAGATCTTTGATGTTTTGATCATTAATGAACTGGCCCAAGCTCTTGGCAAACTGGAAAAGGTCATTAAAAATACATTATACTGTCACAGATACTCAGATTCAATGTCAAAAGATAATAAATCTTGAATGCGATCTTTCAAAAGCTCATGTAGTCCTTCAACAAAGACATTTGGCTTGCGCTTAAGAATCACAATATTCTTTTACTAAAATGAGAGGGTACTCTAATTTTGATGTAATAAAAAGTTGCAAGAATGTAAGGAACTTCCACTTGTAGAAGTATAACCTCCAGAACATTTCTTCTTCAGGCTGAAAGACTTATGTTTTTAAATAGGAAAAATAAATGGAGGCCTGTGATATCTCCATGTTCCTGTATGTGACTGCAGTCTTTCTTGAAATGTTTCACACTGTTTTTAAGAATCTTCTGATATCACTGTTTCTCAATCTCAGCAACTTTTAAGATGTGTAGACTTCAATTCCCAACATTTCCTACCCAGCAATCCATATTGTAAGCCTGAACACCTGGTGATCACCTCACAGCTCCACAAAAGTTGCCATTAACTTGTAATTTTTAACATGTCCCTGGGGGAAAATTAATAAATATGTCATGTATGTTTGTAGTTAATTTAACATTTTATTTAAATTAATCCAATGTAGTTTCTGTTCTGACCCTATTTATTTCTTTGTAATCTGGTTTATCATTCAAACGCAAAATTCAGAATGTTCCATATCCTTGGCTGTCTGGATCCAAATCTCTCCTTAAATCCCAGAACACAAACAAATGCAAGATAATGCACATTTTTAAAAATTACTTAAATTTTAAAATACATTTTAAATGTAATAAAATACAGAGCTACAATAGATAGAACATAACTACCTCTTTCCCTCTATTGGATAAGCCTGTGTCTCCTCCTATTCTTCCCTTTAGATTTAGTTCACTTTCACCATGTCGACACAGGTAGATGGAACGAGGAGTTACATGGATATTCATGAGGTAGTAAACAATCCGACTCTGAATATGATCCATTACATGGTTTACAAGGTAACTCCTTCCAACATCCATGATTTTAATATAAGAAAGATCCCTGTAACAATAGGACACATAATTAATTATTGCCCTATTTAGCCTCATGCTTTATTTATCATCATCAGCCACAGAGACCAGGAATAAATTTTATTCACCTTCATTTGAGGAAGGGTGCAGGTAGTCCTCAGATTATGTCAATTTGTTCAGTGACTACTCAAAGTTACAATGGCACTGAAAAAAATGGACTTACAAACAGTCCTTGAAGTTCTGGCCACCATATCTGCCCCTTCTCCAGTCAAATGATCAAAATATGGGCCAGCCTGCATTTATAACCACTCAGTACTGCCCCGGGCACTTCCCACATTCCCTATTGCCTACCTGTATCACCCACTCTCCTGCCTGCAGCACCAGCCTGTACTGTACAGCGCTTATCTGGGGCACTCACCCAGCCCACTTTGTCCCTCAACTGCTAACCTGTTTGCCTGAGATCTTGCCTATTTCCACTTAATGACCTGAGTGGTCCTGGGGTTATGACAGCAACCAGGATTACCATTGCTAACAGATTCAGTCATGTGAGGTTGTGTTTCACAGCCCCATCATTTAGTGATGGACATTCCAGCCCTGACTGCCATCAGAACCCGAGGACTACCTGTAGTTCCACAGTCTAACAAAAATAACTTTAAGTGACAGGAATTTTGTTAATATGCAATGTATTTATTTTATTTACATTCTTTTTACATTATGGTATATTGTTGGAAAGTCCAAAATACCCATGTTAAATTCTGTGATTATTTCACATTAGGTCATTTTTTTTAGGCAATCATGGAATTTCACTTTTTCTTTAACCTTTTTCATTTCCCATTTTTCCTCACTCCAGGACAAGCAAGGTGTAAACATCAACAATTGAGTAATAAAATCTGTCAGGAATACAAATTCTCACAGTAAAAGACCACAGTGTTCTTTGTTGATTTTGCTGACTGATAAGCACACATTCCTGTGCTTTATTTATGACCTGCTTTATCTCACGATTCTATCTTCTAATACTAAAAGCATTTCTGCTTATTCTCATTACTATCCCATTTTTCCCTTTCTTATTAAAAGTATTTATATTATCTCTCACACATTAATTTATATAATTCATCTGAGAGGATGTGTTCCCCTAAAACTTATAGTTAAATGGATTAAACTTTAAGGTACCATATTATTGTTTTTTAATTAAAACTGAAATGGTCACTTACTTGTCTAGATTTTCATCCAACGTCTCATATGAATTCTTGTAACACTCAATTCTTTTCATAAAGTCCTCTGTAGCTTCATCACTAGCACAGTCAATATAATCAGGACTGCCTAATTTCACTTGCTAAGAAACCACAGAATAAAGAAATCTCTAAATATTATAAAAGAAATCAATTAGTTGTATGATGCTTTCCTAGATTCTGTGTTTTGAGTAGAAAAAAAACTAAATTTAAAAGAGAAACCTAACTTATACTTCAACAATTTAGGGAAAATGTACAAATTATATATCAGTAGATAATGTGGATAGTAAATTGTTATCATAAGATTGACACTTTCGTTTTCCATTATTTTCATTTCTATAGCCTTAATTTAATATATTATGTCCTATAGCGTATTGTCTACATATCATATGTATAGTATATGTGTGTGTGTGTGTGTGTACAAACACACACACACACACACACATTTGATGACCTTTTATTTAAACTAAATTTGTATATCAGTGATTGCATGACCTCTGTAGATGCCATACACTAAATAAAATAAATTTATAGGCTTTGGTGATTGAGAAATAATATTCCCATACTTCTCCTAGGCTTGTTCTGCAATTTTATGGTTAAGTTTGTTTTCTGACTTTCTTGAAAGGAAGCAGAGTTCACCGGTAAAAAATGTATTTTGCAAACCAGTTTCTGAAAATTCAATCCCTAGTGAATGCAAGAATGCTTGGGAAGAAAACCTGGAAAGCTCAGTCAGTTAGGACTAGGTTTTGTAGATTACAAACTTTTATAATTAAGTAAAAGGGTGTAATGTAATCTACAGTTTAAAAACAAACCTTAATGGGAAATCAATACAGAAATATGTTACCTAAATGCATGCATGTATATATAACATTTAAAAGTTTTTTTTTTACTTGAGTATGGCAGGGAGTGAAGCAGCTAGACCAGATTGAGTGGTTCTGGGAAGTAAACTGAGCACAAACATTTTAACGTAAACGGAAGTTTTGACTCACCACAATATTTGCAGCAATAACCTCAGGATCAACGCATACTGACTCCACAAAAAAAGTCTATAAGCCAAACAGGAAGAACATTGATGTTGGACCCTTGCATAATATTTTTCACTTTTTAAAAAAATGCAAAGCAGGCTTCAACTTATTCAAAAGCAAAACACAGTGCTGTATAATAAAACAAATAGTAGTTCTTGTTTAGTAACCACAACTGGAACTAGCTATTTAATTGTTAAGTAAAGCAAAGTAGCCACTAAATTAAACCACAACTCTGCTTATGATCTACCAGCTTTCCATTGCTTAACAGACCTATGGTCATAAATGGAAGGATTGATTTAAAGTTACTTTTTCATCACTGCCATAACTATGAACAATTGCTAAACAAGGCAATCACTAAACGAGGACTACTACCTGTAATAGTTCAAACCTAACCATACAAACTTTTTTTCTTATATAATTACTATAATGCAATTGTAGTATGTTAAACATTCCTTTGATCTTTTTCTCAACTAATTCAGATAATATGGCTTTAATGAAGTCCTTTGAAATCTAAGCATTCTGGATTTAGAGTTCATGCCACATAGAAAGGGAATGTCTTTTTCTCTACTACTCTGCTCTTTCTACTCCTGACTCCTGGAGTAATATTAAAATAGTATAAAGGGTATTTTAATTGTCATGTAATAGAAAATATTTTAAAGAAAATTCCATACACTGTACTTTTCTAAAGGAGTAAATCAAAGAAACATGGCTATCTCTCTTCCTTATTCCCTTGCAAAAATATGTGAGAGTTACAATAAACAAGGCAATTAATGGTACATGCAATATTAAAATTGCCAGCATTTCTAATCACAACAGAATCTTCTTTCATATTAACTAGCAGCAGAAAGTATTACTAATCATTACTGTCAACAATAGAATTAAAATTACAGCATAAATTCTAAGTATAATTTACTAGAAAATTGAGGTTTTTTTTTTACAGAACTACTTACAAGCCAATATTTTTCATATGCAGTTATAGTATGTTTCTTTGTAGTCAGTGTAATATTTAGAACAAACATTTTACCCAGGACTAAATAATTTTAGCATCTTTACACAACTGACCTTAAATCCATTTTCTTCCCCAAACTTATATATGGTGTCTCTACGTTCCCTTGTAGTATTTGTAGCATCAAAAACCTACATGAGACAATACAAGAATCAATGGTATATCACTGGATGTGTGTGTGTGTGTGTGTGTGTGTGTGTGTGTGTATCCCCGTAATATTTCATATATCATTAATAAAATGTAATAGCTTCATCATAAATATTTTAGCAACTACTGTATGTTTTTTCATAGTATGTAGGTACATTTATCTTCCATATATACGCATACTAATGGCAAGCAGAACAAATAGTGCAATTAAATATGTATTTGCTGAGATGTTAATTCCCCCAAACATGGCTGACACAAATATTTTGAAGTGTTATCATGAATAAAATGACAGCATGAATCTACTCAATAGGACTATATCCTATATAACTATATATTATTATAATATAACTATATAACTATATTATTATTCTACATAACACAATTTTACTATGAATGTGCTGTAAGATACAAATACAGAAGAATAAAAATTTTCCAGAATTGTTAACAGATATATTCTTACAATTCATGAAATGCCCCATCTCAAACTAACATTAGAAGATTATGCACAAAAACTACAAATAAAATATATAGGACGTTTTGCCTATTGTATGTCATGTTGTCCCCATATATTTCTAAGACTTTCTAAAGCAAAATGCCTGTCCAAATATTTGTTTCATTCACCTTTCTTTCTACTATAATTAATACACATATCATACTAACCTCCTATACCTAATGTTGTTTGTCTATTTATTTGATTTTCACACTACCCGACTAAGAAACATGTTAGAAATAAAATAACATATTATTCCAGCTATTTCATGGGGCTATCATTTTAAGGTGTTAATTTTCCAAATGTGACTTACAAAGCATTTAGCAATGCAGCGATTTAAAATTACCTCTGTATTATAAAAATTGATGTCAGCAGATACAGATATGAAAATTATCCACTGACGCAGGCAGAAGGTTAGTATTATGTAGCATTTATTGTAATTTTCTTCAATAATAAATTGAGTGACCAGAAGAAACTATGAAACGGGCTAAACTGGATCTAATTTCCAATCTCACAATATTTATGTAGCAGCTTATGGAATTTGAGAACCACCACCTGAAAAGCCTGGGAAAAACGGTACTAGTACTCATTTGTTTAGCAATGCACCATAGAACACTTACTGCCACGTGCCCATTTTCTTCACAAAGATATCGTTGAACATCATTTAGTGCTGCTAAGGCACACTTTCTTAAAAAGAAGAGACAACACTCTGGTTATACCCCTGACAAGACTTCTTAGTTATACACAGGGCTATTTCTAGCATTATTAAAAGACTGCACAAAACAAGACGCAGACTTACATACAAAAGCACTTAAAAGGCACAGTTCAGAAATGCTGGAGCAACAGGTGTCTTCCTCCAGTTCACAGAATATGGACAATAAAATAATGATTACAGGAAGAAAACTTAAGACTGAGCCATGCATCTCTCAAGACAGCTATCCTACTTTCCCAACTTGGTAGAAACAACCAACAGCATCAGCTGTTTTCTAATTCGCTAACATCAACATTTCTTTATATCAAAACAGCAACATAATGACAAACTTACTTTCGGATTTTCAGGGCTTCTTTATTGTCTGGCAAGAAGAATTCAAAGGACTTGTATGTTTTCACCAAATCTCGACGGTACTGACCAACATTAAACTCTGTGTAGAAAAATCAAGGAGGAAAATTAAGTGTTAGGTATAACATTGATACCAAATATGGTTTGGGTGAATAAATAT